AGTGACACAGGTTTCAGTACTCTGATGATGATACTCAATTATACATCTCTGTCCCAGGTGAATTAAGTGATGCCATGGATGTTCTTTCTCAGTGCCTGGAGGCTGTGGGGGGCTGGATGGGGAACAACAGGCTTCAACTGAACCCTGATAAGATGGAGTGGCTGTGGGTTCTGGGCTCCTCCGTATCTGAGGCCTTACCATCTTTGGTTCTGGAAGGGGTGCCACTGCCTCAGATGGACCCGGTGCACAATTTGGGGGTCCTGCTAGATTTAGGACTCCTGCTCAAAGAGCAGCTGGCAGCCGTGGCTAGGAGGGCCTTTGCTCAACTCCATGTTGTGCACCAGTTGTGCCCTTTCCTGGATTAGGAAGCCCTTCTCTCGGTCATTCACACCCTGATCATCTCCTGTATGGACTATTGCAACTTGCACTTACATGGGGCTACCCTTGAAAAGTATCCAGAAGCTGCAGCTGGTGCAGAATGCGGTGGCATGGGCAGTTATGGGTGCCTCTAGGGCTGCACATGTAACATCTCTGCTATGTGAGCTGCACTGGGTGCTGGTTTACTTCCAGGTCCAATTCAAGGTGTTGGTTATGACCTTTAAAGCCCTGCATGGCATGGGCCCAGGTTACCTGAGGAACCATCTCGTCCCAATTACATCCGCCCATCCCACCCAGTCCAGCAGGAAGGTCATGTAACGGACCCCATTGGCTAAAGAATTCTGACTGGCAGAGTCTAGGAGGAGAGCCTTTTCCGCTATTGTCCCCACCCTGTGGAACATCTTGCCCCCTGAGGTGAGGTTGAGGATCTAATGGGGGCTCACAGCACTGGGGGTGGTTGGTGGTTTCAGGACACTCTCCCTGTCTTTTAACCCTGTATATATATATTGTATATTGTATATTATAGTGTATATTGTATAGTGAGATGGGCAGCGTATAAATTTGATAAATCAATAAGTAAGCTCATCAAGGTAACAGTGGTATTAAACATTGAATGGCAATGACTATAGAATAGAATTTGGCAACCTCCCTGGAAAATAAAGAAAAGGAGAGTATTAACTTCATCTGATCTGCCCTAGCAGTTAATTAGGAAATTAGGGGTCCCCCTCCAAATCAAAGCAGCACAGAAACACGTGTGAGATGCCTCTAATTCCCGCCAATGGACAGGGATACACATGTACACTTCTAGCATAAAGAAGTAATCAAGTTCAAATACCAAGTCCACTTGGAGATTTTCAAGAAAGTTTGTTGTATTTGATATAAATAATATTGAAGAACTTCCTTTGATTTTAAATGATGTGGATATGCACTATTCCTCAACCATTTTTAATGTTTTTGACTGGTAAAATCCTAGCTTAAGAGAAATGGTTGCAGTTGTCTCACCTGAAACCAGCTTAGAACTTGTGACGAGCTTAGAACTTGTGAATATATTCAGCAGAAATAGATTTTCCATTAATTATTAAGTCTCTAATCTTCTCAGTCCTTGAATGGATCACATTTATCTGTTTTGCATGTAAATTCCTCATGTTTGAAGTGACAGGAGTCTTTGACAACATTTCTTGACTCACATGGCAGGATCATTCCTTTCCTCTCTACTACCAAACACCCAGCATTTTCATGGTCATACAGAGATTCTGCAGAGACAGATTTCAGAACATGCAGGAGGTTGCAGGCAAGGGGGAATCCATTGAAAATGTGTGGCATAGTTTCTTGACATTTTGAAGGTCAAATAGAGGTCATGTAGTTTAAACAACAAACACAGGCTCCCCCAAAATATAAAACTGTTCAACCTTCAAAGAGGAAAAAACAGAAAATTTGTTGTGTGCATGATATTGTTCTGTCTTGGTTGCTTCATCTCCCCAATCATTTTTAATTAATTAATTCGTTCATTCATTCATGTGATTTGTATCCCAACTTAAGGTGGCATACATAATGCTCCCTCCTTAAGAGAGAGCAACTGGACCAAAGTCATCCAGCTGACTTTTATGGTTAAGGGAAGATTACAACTCATAGTCTCCCAGCTGCTAGTTCAGCACCTTCACCTTCATTCACAAAACAAGTCCTTGCTCTTACTAATCCCCCCAAAATTTGTGGCTCATGATGACCCAATGCTTCCCATACCTGCCTTTAACTTATGGTTTACAAATACAAAGATTGCATTCAAATGCACAACATTGCTCAAATTCACCAGAATCTTGATTCCTCATGGGTGGTGTCTGATGTTCTGACTGGGGCAATTTATACTGTTATCTGGGATTCATTCCAGGTGGTGGACTGTTCTGCAGTGGACACTCTCTGCCTTGAACTTTGTCACCTATAGTCTCGATCTATGTCCTTCCTGGCTCCTTCAGATGTCTGAGCAGGTCTTTGGGTGTGAAGAGCTGAATCCAGGAGGCTATCAATGTCTTTGAGGGGAAGAGGGTTGTTCTAGCTGACTATAATGAGGTGTTGGGTGTGCCTCATCTGGACAGACCTATCCTGGATCCAGCAATATTAGATAATTATCCTTTCTCCTTTTTAGGAAAGGTGATGTTCTCTAGCTGCAAAATGCCCTTGAGAAATGCAACATCTGGACCCTTTTCAGCCAAGGTTCAGGCCCAGTCATGAGACTGAAATGGCATTGTTCATGCTGGTGGATGATATGTTTTAAGGGAGTATACCCTTTTGGTCCTTATTGATCTCTTAGCAATCTTTGACATTATCAACCATGGCATCGTTCTGGATTGCCTGAAAGAGATGGGGATTGAAGATATTGTTTTATAGTTGTTCCACTTCTTCCTAAGTGGACAATTACAACCAGAAGAGAGCTTCACCCTTTGGATTAGTCCTCTTGCCTCTATCTGACATCTGTATGAAGCTGCTGGGAAGGACTTATCCATTGGTTTGGGTGAGGCATCATTATTACACTGATGATACCAACTGTACATTGCCACCTGGGCTGAGCTGGAGATTCCATGGAAATCTCGACCCACTGTTCTATACTGTAATGATCTGGATGGGAGAAAGCAAACTGAGGTTGAACCCTAACAAGACAGAGTTGCTATTTGTTCAGAAACCATCTGATTCTCCATCAGTTTCAGTGGTTACTCTGGGCAGGGTAGCACTCCCCCTGAAAGAGCAGGTGTGCAACTTGTGTGTCCTACTGGGCTCATAGCTACTGCTGGTAGGGCAGGTAGAGCTGATATATCAGCAGTTGGGGCCCAACCTGAAGTGGGAAGACCTGGAGATGGTAACACATGCCCTCATTACCAGCAGGATAAGCTATTGCAATGCATTTTATATGAAACTATCTTTGAAGACTATTCACAAACTGCAATTGGTGCAAGTAAGACATACTGGTGGATGAGAGCTATTACAATCATGTGAAAACTCAATTGAGAGTGTTGTACTGGCTTCCAGTAAATTTCTGGATATAATTCAAATGTTGGTTTAAACTTTTAAAGCCCTAAATGGTTTAACTCCTAGGTACTTGCAGCATCACCTCTAGATAGAACCGACCCATTTAGTTCCGTCATATTGATTGGGGCTATCCAACTGCCCAACCAATGAGAAGTGAGATCTGCAGGGGCTTAGAAGTAGTGCTTTTCTGTGAAGTCCCCCACTACATGAAATACCCTCCCACTGGAGGTCAATCTGACATCAACTTTGTGGACTTTCAAAAAGCTGCCCAGATGGAGTTGTTCAGCAGGGCTTTAAGAACTGATGTTGCCTAGTGTATGCTGGTGCCACTGTATTGTAATGTCTACTACTGATAGATTTGTATTGTGGCTTTTAATCTTTAATGCATTATGCTTTTATGAATGTAAACACTCAGAGCTGTATGATTTGGCTGGTACATAAATAAAGCAAACAAACAGACAAACATACTGAACTAAAATCAATCAAGCCACTATGGATGGTTTTAGTCTAATGTGTCAACAGAGTGGTAGGATTCCTAGGCAGGTATTCCCATCCAGGCATTGTTTCACATTAGTAAAGCTGCTAATGTCTTCATATTATGCCATAGGACCACAATGGTCTGGCTCTACATGCAGGTCATCACTGATGTTGCACCATCTTTAACAGATCATGTTAAATGAGCCAGCCTTTCCTTACGCTTTGCTTCTGTTAAGCAGTACCTTTACACTTTCAATTGATTTGTTTAGTTTCCACGAAGGTAGTGAAAATTGGTTGTACTTCTCAATCTCCATGTTCCACTCAACCCATTGGAATGGAAGCTAGGGAAAATTTTGTTGGCAGATCAAAGCATCTGATTCATTCTTTCAGTGCTGAAATTGAGAAACATCCCTTCAATTATGTCAGGTAACCTCAGACATATTTTAGCATCCAGCATAGCTTTTAGCATGGGTAGCATGGAAGAGGAGTTTAAAGTAACATAAATAATATTTTCTATGTTATTAAGGAGCATCTTTTCCTGTGTTTATCATTTATTTTGTAATAAAGGAAAGGCACACTTTTAATTATAATATCTATGATTTAGGTGGGTGTTGAATTCTTCATGAATCCATTTTTCTGAAGGATTCAGGGTCCTGCAAATAGCGAGGAAGCAAGAGGGAGATCTATCCTTGTTCAGACAATGAGCCGTGATGATTATTATGTACATAAGACTTAAGCTGACTTATCTTCCTAATATCGGATAGGAGATTTGTTTGAGTTTGGAGGCTTTGGTAATATGAAAATATATTTAATTGTATTTGATTAATTAATTGATCAATGACTTAGATGGGAAATTATTAATGGCATGACAGTTCTTATTGAAAATCTTTGCAGAATAGAAATATACCACATATATTTTTCACCAAAGGAAAATACCAGTGCTTCTTTGCATATGACAGATATATCTGAAGAAAATGTCTGTTGCCCAGTATTAAAACAGAAAAATTATGCAGCAACCCCTGACCCCAAAAGAATTGTTAAAGATAGCTTGAATTTGTCTTGAATTTTTGCCTTAAGGACAGATAGGGAAAGATACTGCAGTAACTCCAAACCATTATTCATTGCAGATATAAACATGGCTGGAGAACCGAAGCCCAACAGACCAAAAGGACTAAAGAGAACAGCATCTGCCTTGTACAGGTAGGGTTGCTGAGGATTTCACCAGGGCCTGTATTTAATCATGCTCTATGGCAGCCTTTCAGAACCTGCTGTCCTAGGCTACAACTCTCAGAATTCTTCAGTAGCCTCATGAGAAATAGGCCTGATATGGCTGTTGTGAAGTGATCACTAAGAACATGCTGATTCACCCTAGGAATATGAATCTTCACACCCACAGATTGAAAAGAATAAACTCTTGGCCCCCAGGATTGTAGAGTATAAAACTGGAAAAGATGTAGACCTAGACACTCGAAAATAAATGGGTCTTTGAGCAAGGCTTCTAGAGCTTAGGTCATCCATGCATTTGGTGAAGGCAATAAAGTTCAGAGAGCAGCAAGAAATGGCACATGACAGGAGTTTGGAAGCAAAAAATAGTAGAAGAGACAATGAATGGAAAGAAAGGATTAAGCAAAAAAAAAAATAGGGCTTTCTGACAACAGGAGGGGCAGTTAATGTCAGGTTTGAATATAGTAAGAGAGAAGGATAATGCTATCTAGGTAACTGAGAAACAGAGACAGCAATGGAGGAGTAATATGAGGGTCAGAGAGTACTGAACTCATCAAAAAAAGTAGAAGGAAGAGAAAAGTGTAGAGAGAGATGTTGGAGAGGGTGATGGCAGAGAAGAGATCAGACTAGATTGTTTATTCAGAACAGATTGAATCAGAATAGATTAAACATTATAGAAGATGACACAGTGATGGGCAGCAAGCAAAATGAGAGATACAGAAGTGGAGCAGAACCTAGCAGAGACCTTAGGAAATGAGCACCAAATTTAGCAGAGCATCCAAAGTGACGGGCAGAAGTCTGAGGCTTCATAAAGCTGATATGGATCACAAGACAACAACAGAAGAGGAGGAGAAGCTTGTAAATATATAATAGATGAAGTCAGCCAACTCTTTTGTTCTCTCCAGATACATAAGATTATAAGTTAAAAATAATGCAGGGAGGCAGTAAGCCATGGATGGGGTTAAGAGTGGTGAATAAAGAGTTAGTGACCAAGAAGAACTGATGGTGGTAACTACAAGAGAGGATAAGTCAGAACATTAGATTAAATGACTAGATCACTGGACTAAATCATTTTGTCTCTCCATCACAACTTTTCCCAACTGATGTCCTCAAGACAGTAGGCCAAATGTCAAGGTGGCTGGGAATTCTGAGAGTTGAAGTCCAACTCATATAGAAGATACAGTATACAGATGTTTGCACACCCTGTTTTCAGCATGCCTTAGAATAGATGGCAAAGTAGAGAAATATTTGTTAATATAATTGTGATTCTAATTGTATAGATTGATATAGGGTAAGAAGCAGTAGATTTTTAAGTTGGGTTCTACCAAATGGTGATGGTTGCATAATTATGGCCAAGTAAAAGATTAAATCAATTATCTTCCCCCAATTCCAGCTACATCATGGTTCAAGTAAAAACATTCACTGAGGTTTTCATCCTTTGCCCATCACTGTTACTGAATAGCGCTCTTGTCAATAGCCTTTTTCATTCTGCCTCTTTCATCATATTCATTACTTCAGATAAATATTATTTGCCCCTTCAGGCAGCTCTATAAAAAGAAAAACTTCTTAAGATTAAAGGGAAGACATGTTCTGCCTTATTTTTATCATCACTGGGCTTTCTTCTCTGCCCAGATGGATGTTTTGGCTTCATCCTTGTTATGTTCCCTTCACCCAGCTAGATAGACACATCAAATACTTGCATTACTAAGAGGTGAATAAAATGTAATCATCCGTAATAATAAATAATATGGAAAATTGGGGCACTTACACAAGTATAGATTTTACTCATTTTTAGCAGATCTCATGGACATATCAACACAACACACTCGCTATAGCCATAGCAACTGGAGGTAATGCTTAACAGCGTTGAGTACTACAGTTAAGATACTAATTTAGCTGTGGGTACATCAGATATAATTGCTCTGATTCTTATTTATATAGTAATTTAATTTAACTCTACATTACGCTACTGAAATCTTAGAGTAAAGGACAACATAGTTCTAAAATAAGTAACAAGTTACTTGGAATATATAATTCTGTATGTCCCAGTGATTTGCATGAATAATTCTGAATTCCTCAATATTTCAAATTCTGTGATTCTAGATGGATAGAAGGGGAGGATTTTTTAATTAAATCCATCATTGTCCCTACTGCATTTAAGAGATGGCCATAGCCATTCTTTTAAGACTCATTGGTCAATTAAAGTCATCTGTGCTGATGGAGCACTGAGTTTTGAACATTTCCATATGAATAAAATAATCATTTTGAACAAAACTGCTTATCTTATTTTTTTCAAAGAGGATACTAGCATGTTGTTAGAACATCATGATTATAAGAGGTAGCCTTATAATTACAGGAGGCAGACAGATATTATAAGAGGTAGTCCTCTTATAATATCTCTCTGCCTCCTGTAATTATTGCATTACAAACAATCAACATTTTGCTTAAAATTGGCCAACCAACTAATCAGAGGCATCCTTTTGGCAAATTGAAAGGCTTTTAATCAATTTCTCTAGTTGACTAATAGACTAACAATTATGATTTCACTAACTGCATTAAGTTTTATGTCATCTTTGGTTAAGAGCCATGTAATAATGAATGTAAATTGAAAGTAACAGTGTATTTTATGGAACAATATAGGAAACTTGCCTCCGCACTTCGATAAGTCCGAGACCTGGTCAAACAATCTATGCTGAAAGAGCTTATAAATCTATGCTGAATGCTAACCAAATATCTGCAACTGGCTATTTCATGTCTAGCCAGATGGAATAGCCTAAACACAACATCATTAGGTTAGAATGAATCTGGGTGAAAGAAAGCTGATGTGGTAGATGATCTTCTAGAAATGAATCTCTCCATCCTAAATACACCATTAGGGATGCTGGATGAATTCATTCTTTCTGAAGTCCAATGGGAACTGACCTGATCTGCCAGACGAATTATAGATTGGGAAAAGGTATTCATTGCCTTATGCCCTTCTCAGAATAACTTTCAACAACAACAACAACAGCAACAAACCCTAATCAAAATACTTTGGAATAATATATGGAATGTGAGGAATAATGCCAATTTTCAGAGAGAATACATTTTCAATTATGCCTTTAAATACATGCTGAAATGGAAATGTTCTTATGGACTTTTTAAAAAATTGCAAACCAATCAGAAGAAATATTTATAATTGAGGATATGCAAAAGTTATATAGTCTTGAAATACATTGATTCTCTAGTTAAAGTCTAGCACCCCGATTCTAAATATATTATCTTGGGAGTAAGGTCCATTTATTTGCATGCCTAGGACAGTAATTTGGTCTCAGCTAATAAAGGGTATCCAAGGTTGAGGACTGCATTCCTTCTAGGAGAATCTATTGGCAGCCACTATGGGGCATCCAACTAGGAAGCAGCATCTAAGCAAGCAGTAGGTAGTGGATGAGGACACCAATTCTCTCTAAGACACTTCTCCTTCTCCTTCTCCTTTCTCTGGCTCTTATTAGAGGTCTGAGCTGATTCTTACATAGAGGTTTTGCAATTAAGCTGAGGATCACACAACATTAGCCTAAAGATGGCCTGAAGCTCTAAGGTTACATGGATTTTCATACTACCCAGAACACTAATCCCAGGCTAACACAACTTGATTTCAGTGTTTGCCTAACATGTTGTATCCAAATAAATCAACCATATTGTAGCTAAAAATTATGGCCTGGCTCACACCTCATGCTAAGAAGCCTGCAGTTACTCCACAACACTAATTTTGTGCCACCAAGCTGGTGTTGACTCTTAGCATAGATAACTTTATAGATACATCCCTCTTCCCAACATGTGGAACGTCAAGATATCCAACTTATTTTAATGTACCTAGTGTGTTGTATGAAGCCAGCCAGTGAGGCACAACCCACAGAGCAAGAGCATTATTCTTAGGGACATTCTGACCACACTGATTTGTCCCAGTCTGTTATTTGAAATGTCCAAGGTCTCATGGAGAGGGGGCCCGTAAGCATTATATAGAAATTCTTCAGAGTGTTAGTCCATCAGGTGAGGAGAACAGATGAAGGCTGTTTCCAGTCCTTTGAGTGCAAGCAAGTTGACCAAACCCGTTTCAAGGAGTTGCACTTGTACTGTTTTATTTGTTATGTAATTCCATGAGGCTCTGGGAGGAAACTGATTTCTCTGATTCCCCTGCTTCACTTTTTGATACTAGTCTCAAACTAGGAGTATCCAGAAAGCAATTATAGGAATATAGCTAAGAGGAACTCTATCAGCAAAAAAAGAAAAACAGCATTATCCCATCTCATCTGTCAAATAGTAGTTAACAAGACAGGGGATGGTCCCTCTCCTGTCCCCAAGCATCAGCATCAGAGAGACCAGCAGTTAGCCAGAAATCTTATTCAAAGTTCAGGTGAAAAAATGTTTATTTCTTAGCCAATTCAACTATTAGAAGAATTAAAGAATATATAGCAGTAATTATTTGGGGTTATCTCAGCACTTATACCCTCTTACCTTTAGTGATACCCTCCTGCTTTTGGACTCAATAGGGAGGCGGTTTCTAAAAGAGGACCTTAGCTTTGGAAAGGAATGCAAGGCTCTCTAGCCCATATGGGAAGGACCTGTAGCTCTGCAAATGTTGCTGAACCACCTTTCTCAGCATCTACCAACATTAGCTAAAAAAGCTGGGGCTGTTGGGAGTTGTAGCTCAGCAACACCTGCAAGGATATTCTCCCCTCTGATCTAATCCAGTTACTAGTCATAACAGATGGAACTAAGTACATTTCAGAAAGATGATTAAAAACAGGGTGGCCATGTAAGTGAGCCAAGCCAATTAGTGCAAGAAAAAGAAGTCCCCATTCAGTGGCAGGGTTTCTTCTCCTGCCACTGAACAGAAGCCCATCCTCCAAAGACAATGGTCACACAATCTGCTGTACAATTAGGGTATAATCCTCCTAAACATGGGATTTAATTACAATATGTTAGAGTTGCTACAA